GTGTCACGACCAGAAAGGTGTGGGTGGTTCGTACGCCTCTTCTTGGTTGGTTTGGAATCAAGGTTTTTAGCCAACTCCCCTAGGTGAACTGCCAGTGGTCCACTAGCCCCGGATGTCGGCATTATATTATGTAACTGCATACTGTTGTATGTTGAATAGCAGAAGAGGTAAATTGCAACAATACATAAAGGGACCTACTATTCATTCATTCTGACCGATAACATACGCCCTGGGACTTGGAGTGGTCGATGTCCTAGTAAGATAGGCGTGGTCTTAGGCCGGACGACAGCAAAGCTGCCGACGACCGAATTTGGTAGTATTTAAATCTCGAACACTAGGGCTGTAAGTGGACTAGTGACAGCGAATTTAACTGCTTGACCACTACCATAACTACTACTCACCGATAAGCCTTTAAAAGTTATCTTCGTTTTTATTTTATTCTATTTATTTTCAAAGCTGAAGAAAAACAAATAATATCACATGACGAATGTTTCTAGATGGCTTTCATGAAATGAACTGTACATTGATCAATGTTCAATTAAAATTAATCCTCTAGCACCATCGGAAGGTGGAATACGGTGATGCAAACAGCAGCCCCTGGATGCGTAACAGCAAACGCATTGTTCACAAAGTGGACCAGATATGCCACCGGACGCCGTGTAACAGATTTGAGGTAGCTCTCTCAGAGACAAGGTGATATTTTAGACCAGATGGTCTAACTCACCTCCGAGAAATTTTTAAGCAAAAAAATGTATCCCCTTACCGGCAAGCTGCTTACTATATCAAATGGTCACGTATCGAAACACTAAATTGGTGTAATGAATCACTTACTTCGTGCACAGTGGTGCTAGTGCTGGTTTTGACTTCACTTTTTAAATGCCCGGGATACATACGATGCTGCAAATGGAGTGCTAGCTCTATGGTCCGTTCAATGGCTAATGAACCAACTCCATGCAGCCAGATCTCACCAGGTTTCATATTTTCGGGGGCAGACGGACTATGGTAGCGATACAGCAGGTGTTCAACGCGCCGACCAACATACAGTGCTTGAGCCTGAGCAAGAGACAATTCTATTGCAGAAAGAGTCACTTACCACTGTGGGGGTTTTAGAATTGATGAAGAAATGGTTGCAGCCATTCGGTGCAGTATATTCTTTTAATCTTTGCCCAATGCAAGTCTCTTCCGGTAAAAAAGCAGAAAAGGAGGACCACAGTGCTTCAGAGGAGGCTTTCGGCACCTCGGGTGACAATCCCATTGTGTTACTTTATAATCTTCCCGCAGGTATGTTAAAAGAAAGACGATCACCCAATTCGCCCCAGGCCACACGGGAAGTATAGTAAAAGGCAAGCCAAAGTATGAGAGCTAGAGTCCAAAACAGGGCACCGATAAGGCTAAAAAGGACGTCTGGAAGAAATAAATATGATGATCAGGAAACTTGCATCTCTTAATCGGTTGCAACTCTGGATACGGCCGAGCGTACAGTACCTCTCGAAGAAAGGAGAAAACGTTGATCCACCAAACAAAAGGGAGAAAAGGTAGACCAGCTAATGAATAAGAATGCAATGAAATGCAATAAACGGTTTACCGAAGAAATAAGTTCGGCAAATCTTCAACTTTTCTTGATTGGATAATTTATTCACATCCATCTACCTAAAACAGGATAAATAGGAAACAATAGACATAAGAAACAGAGTTGAATGTTATAAGCACTCCTGCTGAAAGTGAGTAGAACTTTCTGTTTATCTACGT